ATTTTAAGGCTGTAAAGAAATAGCAATCAATACTCTTCTTGTGCACTTCAGTTTTCTCTTTGGCAGGGGGGATGGGTGCCTATTCGAGGCTAGGCACTTTTTAAATTATGGTCATTAGCTATTCACAACAATATGTTGTATTTAACAAGTAAACAACAAAATAGAAATGTAAATATTAATTTTATATTTTAAATCTTTACTATACTGTTCAACCATGAGCACCACAAATATTTCCGGATTGTGATTGTGTTGAGGAAAATCAGCCAATGGGGTGTGGGAAATAGTAACTGCATGCAGTAATGATGGTTAGTAACTTTGCAGTTTGCATGCAGATCCCTATCTCCCATCTGAAAGGTCACAATACAAAAAATGTATTGCGCATACATGTTAACCATTTGTGTTTTCTGAGCAAACAAGTAGACATATGTACAGCATATAACCTAACTTGAGAGGTTTGCATTTTCTTACAGTGATAGATGAGGTATTTTTTTAGAGATATTTCCATGCTGTGGACTTGTGGCTTCTGAGATAGAAGTCAGTGAAACAAAGATTGGTTATTAGTAAGAATTATTTTGGAGGGTGGCATCTTTTCCTTTGTCTGAATGGTAATTGAATGTGATTATATTAAAATGTAAGCAAAAATATGGATAAAAAAGAATTTTTTTCATTTTTTCTGGTTATTTTTCCCGAACACACCATAAGTCATACTTCTAATAACTCCAACCTTTAACCCTTTAACTCCCACAAGTGACCACAACAGAATTTTAATACAACATCAAGCACACAAGTGATGGGAATTGAGAAAAATATCAGTAAAAGGATTATAGGTTGTTACCACCAGCGCCTTTGTTTGGAGGCTTGGCATATTAACTCCGCCCACGCTCCTTTAAATCGTGACGATGGCGGTTTGCTTCCTGACACCTATTTACACCTCGTCAGAAAAAAGGCCGCTAATTAGTGATCATATAAAAGGACCTCTTGTTGCAGCGTTTAGATCACCCCTGATGAAGGCACTAGACAGGAGTGTCGAAACGTTGGGTCTATGAATTGTAACTTCTTCGGTTACATTCATTAAATCTGCAAACCAGAGTAGCATCAAACTATGCCTGATTGTCCACCTGGTTGCCGTGTGAACTTTAATATAATGTATGAACATCATTCAAGAATTTAATCATTTGTGCCTTATCCATTGGTTGAAATAAAAATTCCTAACTTTACCGAATGTGAGTTAACATTCTAGATAGTGCAACTTGTCAGCTTTGCCATACAAAAGAATGATACATATATGCCTTATATATTATCGTCCTATAATTATTTTGCAAATCATAAGCATATTTCCATTTCACAAATTACAGATTTTCATTTTCTTTCGATTTGTTTTGCAAATTACAGTAAGCCAGTTATAGGGTTCATAATTTATCATGAACTTTCATATCACTGGGAGTCAAGTCTACTAATAATGACGACAAGAATAATCATATCGAGTCAGTGAGCAGAGGATGATGATAGCTTTGGAAAAAAATTTATATTTCCTGTAACAGATTATTCCTTCCTTCATCTTTTTTTGGGGCAAGACACCAAAGTTCTGTTTTTGTTGCTTTCTTTTCAATCACATCTTTTAATAACATCATAATGTAGTGTAGCTCAAATTTGAAAAACATTCATGTCAGTTTTGCTGTGATTGTTTCCTAACTTCTCTCTCCACATGTTTCCTTACTCTGTGATTTGTACCTGAGTGTCCTTCATTGAACTATAGGAGATAGGGTTGATCAAAATATGATGCATCATGGTTGACTGTATCACAAGCTTCTTCTAAATGCTAGGTCCTAATTCACATTTTTTATATTTGGTCACATAATTCTTCATGGTCTTACCTAAAAGAGCATCGTTCAATACTGGTACTGGATCAGTTATTTGCAAATGCATGCCTATTCCAATAAGGACAAGATTGTGACGATAGAGGCAAGAAACTGTAAGCAAAAAAGGAAATCACCATGAAAAAATTATCTTCTACAGAAATTCCACTTCTTATATGAAACATGTACAGTTAAGTGACTGTGAATACATTACAATCATATATTTGAACTGTGGACTAATAAATGAATATGCAAGTGATCTTGATATAATAATGAAGATAACTTATATATTCATTTATCAATTTTCAGTTCACCTAAATGATTTCCTATATTCACAGTCATTTGTTCATCACTTCACAGGTTCATTAGAAACCAACACAATGACCAACTCCCTGTTGGCTTGTTAGCTCAGCTGGCAGGGCACTGCATGGTATTGCAGAGGTCATGTGTTCAACTTGCAGACAGGCCCGAATTTCTTTCAGGTCTTATTTTCCCCACTGCTTATTATATATGCATTAATTACTGAGACGATACTTACATATTCACATACAGTTAAGTAACAAAACCATGACTTTCTTTGCTTGAACAGTAAAAGGGAAAAAACAGAAACCAGCTATGTGAGCCAGATGAAGGTTATGTGCTGAAATAGTGGTTTTGATACAAAAACACATTCTGTCGTGCACTTTCTTTGGCAAGACAGGTGACTTTCACAATTTCTCTTTCTACCTAAGCAAACTAACTGGGGTGCTGAGGGTGTCAGTAACAACTGTATGACCATATTCCAATTGGTAAAATGACTGTGTTTATAACAAGAAACCCTGTGGGAAAAGAAAACAGAAACTATTACTAGAATACATGCAGGGCCAAGTTATAAAGCAATCCTCTGCATCTAGCCGAACTCTATAAGGACGTGTTTTAATATTCTAAATTTTCAGAGGAAGGTGTTTCTTGACCCCCCCTTCAGCCCATTGTAAAACACCACAATCACTGCTGCCTTTAGGATCCATCACTTCAGAACTTGTTCCTACATTTACCTGCCTGATAGCAACCTGAACATTCCTAAAATGTAATGGGAGTACTCATTTTATGTGATACCATCTTTTTATTGCTTATAGTAAAACAATAGAGTATGTTTACAGGCTTAATATCACTAGTCAAACATGGTCATAACTGATGGCCAATATGGCTTGCCAGTACATGTTTTACCATGAACAACTATAAAATTAGTGAAATAAAAAAGATTTAATTAAACATGGTTAGCCTTGGCAGTGAAACAAACTGGACCATGATAGATTGTGATAGACCATGGTCAACTACAGTCAAGTTACTCAATCGAAGCATGACAGTTCATTGTCAACCAAAATTTGAACTAAAACTGACCATGGTTAAACATGGTCAATCATTGAATCTCTCTGTATGACAAGTTGGGTATTAACAAACCTATTTAAATGGCCTAAAACCCTGATATATTAAATCAAACTAGAAGTCCAGGGTCATCTCAAAATCACTCTTCATAACAATTTTATTTTGGCTTATAAATCAACCTGTGCATTCGGTATTTATGTAGCTCTGTGATTACATTGAATCATACTGTGCCATAGTCAGTGCAGTTTGATTTAGCAAATCATGACTAAAACTTCTACAAACTCCCAACATTCCAGTAAAATTTGATAAGTGCAAGCCTGTTTATTAATTAACCAAGCAGTATACTTAAACAATTTGGAACTAGATGGTAAAAATTAACTTTTATGAAGCTAATTTATTTGTCAAATTATACATAAACAGGCTTGACCGTTGACAATCTCACAATCACTTAAATTGAATCAAAATCAATACCTTGTGGTGTGTACTTCCCTCTCATATTTTTTAGACGACTTACATTTTGGCATTGAGAACTAAAACTGTTGATCCTTTAGGGTCTACCGCATACTTAAGGACTATTTGGGAACAGCTCAAATCCTCAGATGAGTCTTTCGCTACCGAAGTTAGTAATTTTGGTGATGCGAATTTTCAACCGAAATGTTAATGTGAATTATCGCCGCCATGACATCGCTCTTCTTCTTCCTGAGGAATCGTTTATGTACGCCAGTACTCCACTACTGTAAAGTAGCAAGGCTGAACAGACTACATCAGCTCTTTAGGTGTATAAATCAAAGTTACTGGCTTTGAAAGTTTACTTAACAAAAGTCTAGTCATAAGAATTCTCGATAAGGTTTCTGCTTCTTCTCTTATGAATTCACTTCGTAATATTTTCAATTAAACATTCTTTCCAGGATAACTATGATACTTCATTGCCTGATGAAAAGAATTCCCGATCTAGTGGCAAGGGTTTCTGAAATAGAGATTGGTCTCAAGATATTCAGATGGAAAGCATTCTTACCAGAATTCTCCTCTAGCTATTCAATCTCGTCGCGAGGAGCTTGATTCTTCTTGAAAGAATCGCAATCAAATTGTTCTTGTGATAACAATTTTGGCCCTTAATAAACGAAAATTTCGAAAAGGGGAATTGTTCCCTGTTGTTTTAAATCAACTGTGTCTTCTACACCAATATAAGCAAGAGATAAACAGACAATAAAAATATAATATGAGACCAATTCGACCCCGTAACAAGTTCACGAAAGCTATGTCAAGGATGGGTTGAATCTTTGATGAGGTGGATAAATGAAGGTTCTAAGACATTTATCTCAACAACCTCCCCTTCCTCCCCTTCCTCCCCTTCCTCCCCTCCTTTTCCTCCTTTCCCCCCTTCCTCCTAGCCCCTGCCCCTCCCCCCCGGCGCTAAATGACGACGGGTCGTTTATGTAAGTTACTAGTTGAACTAAATTCCAAGCTCGTAAGATACAACACAATACCAAGATAAATACATATATTTATTAGAAATTTGGTGTGTAGTATCGCTGGGTATTTTAACGAGTTGTGTCGTATCGCCCGCAGGGCGAGTCAAAATTATCTATTGTCCAACTGCCTTATTTCATGCGCATTTCATAAAAAAGTGGGAAAATATCTGTACTTGATTCGCGCGTTATTTGCATTCTACGTAGTGCAGTTGGATAATACAGTAATTAGTGATACTTACACCTTCCAAAACTTCTAACAAGACAATTTTTTTTCTTTTTTTTTTCAGAACAATCAAGGACAGAAGCAGCCACCAATTGTTCCTCGGAACACTACGTTCTTTTTTTCAAAACACACAAAGCAGGTTCAAGCACAATTTCGAACATTTTCTTTCGTTATGGCGATTCTCGAGATCTTTCCTTTGTTCTTGGCTCGGACACTGTGATTGGATGGCCGACGCGATTCCGCATTGGACAAGCTCTCGCTTTCGATGGAACGCGACCAAATTTTCTTTGCAGTCACACAAGATTCAATAAGAAAGCCATCAACTATTTGTTTCCAAAAGACGCCAGCAAATATGTGACAATCGTCAGAAACCCGGTCGAACAGTTTGAGTCGACTTTTAACTACATGCAAATCGGAACTGTGTTCGGTTTTGGGACAGATCCATCTGAATCATTGAAAGCCTTTCTAAAGAATGGAATAGGATTTAATATGCTCAGAAAAAGCGGAAGTTCTGTTTTAGCCAGAAATCCGCAAATGTTTGATCTAGGTTTGGATTTCAAGTTTTATCAGGATGCCAAAGCCATTAAAGATTACGTTGAATTCTTGGAAGAAGAGTTTGATTTGGTTTTAATCGCAGACTAATTTGACGAATCTGTGGTTCTTATGAAGAGATTACTATGCTGGGAATTGGACGATGTACTTTTTGTAAAAAACAAACGAACGGCTTGACGAGGACAAAGCTACTGAAATATCAGATGGTACGAAAGAGAACATCAAACGGTGGAACAAAGCCGACGTGTTGCTGTACGAACACTTTAACCAAACTCTTTGGCACAGAATCGAAAGGGAAGGAAAAGACTTTAACGACGATCTTACGAACTTTCGTCGAATGAAACAGGAACTTAAAAGTAAATGTTTTGAAGACAAGCCAAGTAAGCAGTTAATGTATGGCAACAAGTATGCGAAAGGTTTCACTTTAAGGTCGGATTTGTCTTCTGATCTAAAACAAAAATGTGAAAGAATGACAAGAACTGAAAATAACTATCTGGCATATTTAAGGAAGAAGCGAGTAGCAAAATTAGTCGGTATTCATCGCGCAACACCAAATGAGGATGATGAAGAAAAAGTTAGTTGGGACGCGGCCAGCGATTATAAATATGTTCCTGTCTAAAGTAGCCAATTACATGAGACTTTCAACGCAAGTTATATATTTCGCATATTTCGCAGTGAAATTAAATTGTTTCTATGGATATTTAGAAAACCCGAGAACGCATAAGGAGTGTTTGTGTGGGTCGGATGTCTAAATATTCACATTTACTAATAGTACATGTCCTATATCATTCATCCTAACAGAATATGTTATTGAGCGGTATTTTTGGAACGGATTGAGTCATACAACTACAATGAAAACAAACATAAGATTCACCTTTCTGATCGTGAAATTAATATCATTCCTTCTGTTATCGTAGCTACGTTCCTTGGCATCAAGTGAATTCAACATGGCGTCTTTCTTCATAAGCAGTATAATGGCAGGTTCCATTTGTGCATAGCTTTCTTTTTTCCTTTTTGCATGTAGTTCTTTCCTATGAGACTTAAGTCTTGACATCACCCTTTGTCTTCCAGCATTTTACAAATTGGTTGAACAACATATAAATTTGATGCAATATTCTATATCTTTACTCTGGAATTGTTTTTTTACAATATCCGCCAATGACTGAATAAGAAAATCTTCGTCATTCATTTTTTCAAATATATCAAGTGTGCCATAAGGACTAAACCTTATAATATAGTACTCAACACTTTTTGCTTTTTTTTTATTATTGTGCTGAAAAATACAGCTGAAGCAATAATTTGAAATCCACATTAAAAACCCAGTATTATTTACATTCGAGAAGCCTTCGGTACGCTTTTTCTGATGTAGGTTCGAAGTAAACGTCTTACTTTCCTGGATTTCTTCAAAATACGTGTAATTCTTTTCTTTGGTATTCTGCTGGGCTCACGATCACGAACACGAATACCATGCGTACGAGGGCTATTAAAATAGACAAATTTGTCGTATCGAGACCTACAGCTAAAGACTGTATTTATTGAAAATGCTTCATCATTGCTATTATTAAGCTAATTATCATATACAATAACAGATAAATGAGCAGCTTTCTTAAATACGTTACATTCATCGAAGCTATTCACAGCAGCTTTTGCTGAAGACATCAACAACTTTACATAGAAATTAGCACACAAGACAATTGCGTAAACAATAGATAACATAATAACAATATACACAAAAAACACAGGATTTTGGATCATGTATTTATTAAAAAAGAATATCCATATAACTACAATGAAAACAAATACAAGATTCACCTTTCTGATCGTGAAATTAATATCATTCCTACTGTTATCGTAGCTACGTTCCTTGACATCAAGTGAATCCTACATGGCGTCTTTCTTCACAAGCAGTTTGCTTTCGCCAAAGCAACAACTCTAGAAGTTCTGGAATTGTTGCTTTGGTGATGGAAGTGCAACATTTTTGTTTACGATTACCTGGAGCTTTATGGTGCAAAGTGTTGTTTTCACATAGAAAATAAATTATTTTTTTATGTTCTCAGGTTTGTGTCTCTGCAGTGTTTCTTTCGTTATGTGTGATTAAATATTGCATTTGTTACGCATGATTGTACGTGACTGTTAGGATGAATGATGTAGGACATGTACTATTAGTAAATGTGAATATTTAGACATCCGACCCACACAAACACTCCTTATGTGTTCTCGGGTTTTCTAAATATCCATAGAGACAATTTAATTTCACTGCGAAATATGCGAAATATATAACTTGCGTTGAAAGTCTCATGTAATTGGCTACTTTAGACAGGAACATATTTATAATTGCTGGCCGCGTCCCAACTAACTCACTTGGTGTTGCGCGATGAATACCGACTAATTTTGCTACTCGCTTCTTCCTTAAATATGCCAGATAGTTATTTTCAGTTCTTGTCATTCTTTCACAATTTTTTTTTAGATCAGAAGACAAATCCGACCTTAAAGTGAAACCTTTCGCATACTTGTTGCCATACATTAACTGCTTACTTGGCTTGTCTTCAAAACATTTACTTTAAAGTTCCTGTTTCATTCGACGAAAGTTCGTAAGATCGTCGTAAAAGTCTTTTCCTTCCCTTTCGATTCTTTGCCAAAGAGTTTGGTTAAAGTGTTCGTACAGCAACACGTCGGCTTTGTTCCACCGTTTGATGTTCTCTTTCGTACCATCTGATATTTCAGTAGCTTTGTCCTCGTCAAGCCGTTCGTTTGTTTTTACAAAAAGTACATCGTCCAATTCCCAGCATAGTAATCTCTTCATAAGAACCACAGACTCATCAAAATAGTCTGCGATTAAAACCAAATCAAACTCTTCTTCCAAGAAGTCAACGTACTCTTTAATGGCTTTGGCATCCTGATAAAACTTGAAATCCAAACCTAGATCAAACATTTGCGGATTTCTGGCTAAAACAGAACTTCCGCTTTTTCTGAGCATATTAAATCCTATTCCATTTTTTAGAAAGGCTTTCAATGATTCAGATGGATCTGTCCCAAAACCGAGCACAGTTCCGATTTGCATGTAGTTAAAAGTCGACTCAAACTGTTCGACCGGGTTTCTGACGATTGTCACATATTTGCTGGCGTCTTTTGGAAACAAATAGTTGATGGCTTTCTTATTGAATCTTGTGTGACTGCAAAGAAAATTTGGTCGCGTTCCATCGAAAGCGAGAGCTTGTCCAATGCGGAATCGCGTCGGCCATCCAATCACAGTGTCCGAACCAAGAACAAAGGAAAGATCTCGAGAATCGCCATAACGAAAGAAAATGTTCGAAATTGTGCTTGAACCTGCTTTGTGTGTTTTGAGAAAAAGAACGTAGTGTTCCGGGGAACAATTGGTGGCTGCTTCTGTCCTTGATTGTTCTGAAAAAAAAAGAAAAAAAAATATCTTGTTAGAAGTTTTGGTAGGTGTAAGTATCACTAATTACTGTATTATCCAACTGCACTACGTAGAATGCAAATAACGCGCGAATCAAGTACAGATATTTTCCCACTTTTTATGAAATGCGCATGAAATAAGGCAGTTGGACAATAGATAATTTTGACTCTCCCTGCGGGCGATACGACACAACTTGTAAAAATACCCAGCGATACTACACACCAAACTTCTAATAAATATATGTATTTATCTGGTGTTGTATTTTACGAGATTGGAATTTAGTTCAACTAGTAACTTACATAAACGACCCCATTTAGCGCCGGGGGGGAGGGGCAGGGGATAGGAGGAAGGGGGGAAAGGGGAAAAAGGAGGGGAGGAAGGGGAGGAAGGGGAGGAAGGGGAGGAAGGGGAGGAAGGGGAGGAAGGGGAGAGGGGGGGGGAGTTTGGTTGTGTCAGGATAAATTTTATCTGATCGCCCTGCCTTTCTTGGCAGCAGTCAATTTACTATACTACCCCACTTTAACCTCTGATGGCAACGACTGACCCGCCTCTATTTCTCCCTCCTCCAGGCAATAGATAAAGACTTGTTTCTCAGTTTAAGTGACTAAGAGTGCTGCTGGTTCCTCTGGAAGGGACACTAGTCCATTTAAGGTGAGAGAAGAAGGATGGTCCAGACTGATTGGGTGATTGTATCTCCGCCAATAAAAAGTATACATGTAGTGATGGTACTGGCCGCATTTTGAGACTCCAAAGAGTTACCCGACGTTTGGATAAATGGCCTCAAATGTGCCAAACATTTGTTTACAGATGCCATCATTTTAATTTTTGCTTAGAATTCTTGCCAATCAACTGTGAAGTAACCAAGTCTCAAACCTCTTTTTACCCAATCTGGGAGATAAGTTCAACCTTTTAACTCCTGCAATTTTAACGCCTTGAGTATTCTTGTTACCTGTTTGCTGGATACTGTATGGATAGTACAGGGAGAACTTACTTGTAAATCACTTTTGAGAGCTAAGGGTTAAACAGTTAGGAGCTACTCTGGTGGGCATTTTGTCGACTAAAAGAATGACTAACTTTGTGTCCCTGACCATGTTAGTAACAAATAGCAGCAGCCAAAGGCCATTAAAGCACATTAACATGTCACTTGTCCTCATAATATCCACACATTATCCGGCAAGCAGGTAATAACAATACTCAAACTTATCAGTTAGAAGTTTTTATCTTGATCTAAAACCAAATTCTTAGAACTAATTAAAATGTGCACCAGCTAGAGGGGAGAATTAGCAATCTGAAATAAAATGTTAAAGGGTTAATCGTAAAGTGTACGTGAAACATTCAACAAAATAACATTCAATTTTCAAAGCTTACCAAAAACTTTGAACAACATCGCCATAATAAAAAAATATTATAGACATTTGGGTTTATCAATAAAATTCAAGTAATAATTTTTGTATGGCTCTATGAGTCCTTGCACTCTTACCTTGTACTTGTATTTGTTCAAGCGTTGGCAGTGAAGGAAATAATCGCAACTTAATCGCTTTTGTGATTAGTAACACAACTGAGAGGAAGATGATAAACATCTGTTTACAAAACAAAAAGAAAAACATACCATCTCATATCAACCATTGTGTGTCTCTTGGATTCCATGATCATAAAAGTTTTTATTATGATGCAAAATATCTCATGTTCACAGATGTGCCAAAATCATCCAACATTCATCAGCTGTTCCTTGGTACACAACTTACACATGTGTAACAATAATTACATTGTTACCTACACTTAAAGAACTTTGTTAGTTATGAAAATAAGTTACTTCCCTAATCTACATTACTAGTTTCCTTTGTTAGAAAACCTTGGAACAGTCAAGCTCAGTTGCCTCAAACACTGTCAGAGACTTTCAGTTCACATAATTTTTGATAGAAATTTCATGCCTTAGACAAACAAATTAAACACCTAGTTAATCGTTCTTTTTTCATGATTGTTGTTGCTGTTTTATTTTTCAGTTTTTTGCTCTGCTTTCGATACAACGAATACATCGGACAGACCAAACGTCAGTTTGGTACACGTTTGAAAGAGCATCAAAAAGCGGTTTTCTTTTGCAAAAAGGAAACTTCAGCTTTATCGGAGCACACATGCCTAACTAACCGTATAATTAGGTGGGATAATTCTAAAATTATCACCACCAATCGGCGTTATCACCATCGCCTTTGTTTTCTGTCAGAAAAAAAGGCAGCTAATTAGTGATCATATAAAAGGACCTCTTGTTGCAGCGTTTAGATCACCCCTGATGAAGGCACTAGACAGGAGTGTCGAAACGTTAGGTCTATGAACCGTAACTTCTTCGGTTACATACATTTAATCTGTAAACCAGAGTAGCATCAAGCCATGTCTGATTGTCCACCTGGTTGGCGTGTGAACTTTAATATAAAGGAGCCTCTACTTGGCACTCATCTTTGAATGTACTTTTCATCGGTTGATCGCTCGTGTGTAAAGTTATTTCTTTTCTCAACTGTTTTGCCTAATATAACATTTCTAAAGATAGGTTTTGTTGTGGTTCAGTGTGAAAACGAGAACAGCGTGAGTGTTGTAAATGAAAAGAAATTCGTTGGCGCCGTGAAGTTAAAAGAAGGGACGACAGTTGACATCTTGACTGGTACAAACAAGTGTCGAGTGGCCATTTATAAAGCTACGATTTTGAAAGTTTGTGGTGAGTAAAAATTGCGATATTCGTTACGTAATCACAATTTTTCAAAGAATAGATATAACGGCTTGAAGGTGAAATTTCCACACAGCCCCATACTACATTATGCATTCAGTTCCTGGATAGAGAAAACATTGACAGAAACAAGACATTGCCATACTATTGTAAAACAAATTTGCTTTCCCAATGGGGCTGTGCGGGAACCTTATCCGGCTTGAATTAAGCTCATAACGCTCGGCGCAACTGAAACTAGAATAAATCTGAGAATCGAATCGGTCACTTGCATGCTGCAGTTTCTTAAGCTTGTGCTTTACAAAGAAATAAATTTATCAGTAAGGTTTCAAGATTACTTTAGTCACATTTTGGGAACATTCAAGATTCATAATACAAACAGTGATTAAACAAACCTTATTACATAGAAAAGCCCTCCTAGCTAAAAACAAAATACTGTATTCAGCCCCTTTTTAGTAAAATCTATGGGAGACATGTACTAACTCCAATATAAAAGTCATTCAATATAGCAGAGATTTCCCAATCCAAGTGCAATTTGTTAAATTGAGATTCCAATGAATGTCCTTTTCCTTATAGCTATCTAAGGCCTTGGCTGAGCTTTTAATATATATTTATGTATATATATATTTTTTCAAATTCAGATGTCATGGAATCCAGATGTAAAATAGTCAAGCTTCTTGTAAACAACCTCATTCAAGGCCAACAGGGAAAGCTGTGAGCCCAGGAAAAAAAGATGATTAGCAGCTAAGTCTGCAGCTTAAGATAACTTCATTCTAATTGATTGTAACAGTTACAACAAGATTTTAATCAAAATATCAATTCTATTTAACTGTAATTAACCCCTTTACTCCCATTGAGTGCTAGGTCAAAATTTGAGAAGAAATCTTTTAATTTCAATGTGCAGAATCAACAAAAACAGAGTAAAACATGAAAGTGCTGCTTTACCGCTTACATTTGAATGTTTACACACAAGAGTTTTATCCAAATATTATTCAAAAATTAATTCCTATGATGTTTTTAAGAAAAGAAAAATAAATCAAATTCCATCATAATATTAATAATACAATCAAAATATTTACACCTAAACCTTAATTAGGCTTGTAGATAAATTTCATTGAATATTTGAATTTTAGCTGGGATTTTTTTAATTTTTAGTATTTATTTTATATAAGTAGCCTCAAATTTTTGCTTAAAATTCCCAGTTTTCAGTTTTCCATAGGTAGATGGCTTGGTTCTTTGCCCAGCAATAAGAATAGCTTTACCTGTTCTTAAAGTTTTTGGCTTTAAATAATAGCTCCTGAGCTTTTGGGGTTAGGTGATCCAAGATATCAGCATTTAAAAGATCGCCATTATTGATACCAACGGCTGTTGGGTTTGCTTGATTAATTTCCCGTCGATGTGACATGACATCTTCTCGAACGATTCAGGCTAATCGAAGAGAATTTCGGCTGGGCACTCTGTATGCAGTATGAATGTCGTTAAGTGTAAACATTTGCACCCATAGCATTAAAAAGTCAGATACAGAGTTTAGCTATTTAAAGAGCAGGTCTCTCAATAAATTAACTTTGAAGTTCTAAATGAATTGTACCAAATCCGGTCAGCGTAAGACACAGCTGCAAACCGAGCGTAAAATTCAGACGAAGACTGCAGAACAGGGGTAAAATGTAGACTCCGTTCTTCGATTGAAATTTATGGATATTCCTAGTTTATCTTATAGATTAAACTTAAAACGAACTTGAGACTTTTACTTGCTCTTAATTTGTTTCAAATTAAGGAAGACTACGCCATTTTTCCAATGAATAAAAACACGTCACAGAAAAACAAAATTTCTTAAGCATCCCTTGTCAGCCAACAAGAAGCCCAACGTAGGTTAAGTTGACCATAATACCCAACGATTTATCTCAGGTTAATACTGAAGTAAAACACCGAGCGGAATAAGAAAGGCAAACGCCTGGGAATATTCTTCGGAGGTTTTTAATTACATTCTTATCTCGCATCCACAAATTTGCATTAAATTTAAAGAATTTGCACGCCTAACTTCGCAGCGCAAAACAAAGGTACGACAAACAGGTTTTTATTGTCCAAGTAATCGAAATTGCCAATATGCGATGAAAGTCTATCACTGATACTTTGAAGGCCGAATGAGTTTTCCATGAGCTGCATTTATGTTCAAAGCTACCTATAACGTTGCTCAGCAGAACTGTTTATTCCTTAACAAGGAAAATGTATTCAGCTGGCTGTTAACTGCATATTTAAACACTTACGTTTCTAATCGTGATGCAAATTTTCAACGGAAATGTGGATGAAAATTATCGCCGTTTCGTCTTCCTAGTGAATCATTCATGTATGTTTATACTCCACTGGTGTAAGGTAGCAAGGCTGAACAAACTGCATCAGCTCTTTAGGCGTATAGATCAAAGCTACTGGCGGTGAAAGGTTACCTAATAAAAGTCCAGTTATAAGAATCCTCGACAAGGTTTCTGCTTCTTCTCTTATGAATTCCCTGCATAATATTTTCAATTAAACATTATTTCCAGGATAACTATAATACTTCATTGCCTGATATAAAGAATTCTCGTTCTTGAGGAAAGAATTCCCGACCATGTGGCAAGAGTTTCTGAAATAGAGATTCGTCTCAAGATATTCAGATGGAAAGCATTCTTACCAGAATTCTCCTCTAGCTATTTAATCTCGTCGCGAGGAGCTTGATTCTTCTTGAAAGAATCGCAATCAAATTGTTCTTGTGATAACAATTTTGGCCCTTAATAAACGAAAATTTCGAAAAGGGGAATTGTTCCCTGTTGTTTTAAATCAACTGTGTCTTCTACACCAATATAAGCAAGAGATAAACACACAATAGAAATATAATATGAGACCAATTCGACCCCGTAACAAGTTCACGAAAGCTATGTCAAGGATGGGTTGAATCTTTGATGAGGTGGATAAATGAAGGTTCTAAGACATTTATCTCAATAACCTGTAGACGAGCGCGGCCCTAGATGAACTTAAACGCCATCCTAAATGAAGTTAAATGCCATGCAGCCAGAAATTTGATTTTCATGGAAAGGTTCTTTCAAAATCCCTGAAATCATCAGTTGTTTTATAGGAATTTGAAGCGATTCCGAATGTCATGTAGCTTTCGCACTTCGATCCAAACTTGCCTCTTCTTTGCACGGATAATTTCGAACTGAAGACTAACACCTAATTTCTCCTTACAACATCGCCCCTGAATCACACATTAAGGTCACAAGAATAAAGGGAGTGGCACCAAAAATGGAACTTCTTTTTTTTATTTCCCTATTCTGACAAATAATTAAAACTGCAGTGTTCTCCTCCTTTCAGAAGGATTGCAGTCTTAACCAAGGACATTCTTTACCTGAAAGATGTCTCCTAGTAGGATTCATCTTCAACCACTGCACAGTCAAAAGTACCCACAGAGCTAACGTAGGAAAGGCGAGCTAAGTGGAGAATGGAAATGGTAAATATCATAATTAATCCACCAAAGGCTAAATAGAATGGTCTTCAAGAAGTTTTAAGCAATTGTAAGTTTCCTGAGGTTATGGATTGTGATAGTCGAGATTAGAGTAGACAGTTATTTCCTCCAAAATGTTTTTCTTAGATACAGACAAGTTGTAACTTTGAAGCGTACCTATATTGTTGTCGCCATCACTTGGATCAAGTCTACTTTCGTTGCTGCCCTTTACCCGGTAGATTTTCGCATAACAATTTCTTATGGTTGTATAGTGATACCATTATGCGTAATTGTTTCGTTTGTGTCGTATACAAGAATTTTCTGGGCACTCAGACATCGTAGCAACGAAGTACAAGATCTTGTCCAACACCGAAATAGCCAAACGAACCCGCTGAATATTGTGCGATACACAAAAACCCGTGAACGGTTCTTTGTCAGTGCAGCTGGTGTTACTTGTTTGTTATTCACCATTTGCTGTGGTGGAGATCTCTGTGGTTACTAATAAAGCACCTTCTTCATCGTATCTCCTTGCTTGGGTGACAACAGGAACTCTTGTGTTCTTCAACTCATCGTTAAATCCTACTGTTACTGTTGGAAGATTAATGAAGTGAGACAAGCAGTAAAGCAAATAATAAGACAAGCGTTTTACTGTCCTTGGGTATAGATCCATGTATATCGAGGTTCATAGTGAGATCTGTCACCTAATTCTTAAAAAAAAACCAGAGAGCAAGGCAAGTAAGCAGTAAAGCAAATAATAAGACAAGCGTTTTACTTTCCTTGGGAATAGATCCATGTATATCGAGGTTCATAGTGAGATATGTCACCTAATTCTTAAAAAAAAAACCAGAGAGCAAGGCAAGTAAGCAGTAAAGCAAATAATAAGACAAGCGTTTTACTGTCCTTGGGAATAGATCCATGTATATCGAGGTTCATAGTGAGATATGTCACCTAATTCTTACAAAAAAACCAGAGAGCAAGGCAAGTAAGCAGTAAAGCAAATAATAAGACAAGTGTTTTACTTTCCTTGGGAATAGATCCATGTATATCGAGGTTCATAGTGAGATATGTCACCTAATTCTTAAAAAAAAACCAGAGAGCAAGGCAAGTAAGCAGTAAAGCAAATAATAAGACAAGCGTTTTACTTTCCTTGGGAATAGATCCATGTATATCGAGGTTCATAGTGAGATATGTCACCTAATTCTTAAAAAAAACCAGAGAGCAAGGCAAGTAAGCAGTAAAGCAAATAATAAGACAAGCGTTTTACTTTCCTTGGGAATAGATCCATGTATATCGAGGTTCATAGTGAGATATGTCACCTAATTCTTAAAAAAAAAACCAGAGAGCAAGGTGAAAAGATGTCGGACAAGTATCCAGTAGGAAAATGTCATCGCTTTTTAGGTTATGTCTGATTTGAATAGGCAAGTTAAGATCGAGTTATGGTGTTAAATAGTTTTCCTTTATTCAGGGAAAAATTATTACAAACATATGCTTTTAGATAAAAGCGACAATGAAGAGTGTTGCTTCGTTTTTTCTTTTTGTAATTACACGGCCAACATTTCGAAGCAACAGTTGTCAGTTATTCTGGATAGATAAGTAAATCCCGATTGGATTCAACCTCAAAATTTTCAAATTGACTAAAATAACAATCTGATTTTGCGCCAAACTGCATGGTATATGTAAATATTTCTATCTTAAAATTTGAATCTTGATTAGACTAGACTTCAGTTCTAATTGGCTAATGTCGGTTTAGCAAGTAACTAAAGTAGAATTTTGTTCAACGAACGGTGAATTCAATAAGTTTTGATAATTGGAGATGTATTTAGGTAATTTAATGCACGTTGTTTAATTGAATGTGACAACTGAATATTTTATGCATATTTTTATTTTTATGTCACACAACTGCATATTTTAAGTAGAGTTTACTTTGTACTGGTTAGCAGGGGACGTTAAAGAACCCATTCCTTCTGGAAAAGAGAAGGGAGAGATTTTCCCAATGTTGTGGTCTGGCATTATATTGTTTATACAGGCCCCCATTTAAATTAAACCAGCCTAAAGCTGAACTGGGCCGCCAGCCTGTCTAAATATCGCAGATACATATTTATGTACATGCATACATACATAAAGTTTTCTATCCTTGCTAAATTACCAATAAGGTCAATAACAGCGTGTACAAACTTCATCATTTAAGGAAGTTGAGGTCACAAAAATATTCGATGAGCTGACATGCTCATTCATTCACAGCAGTCTGTTGGCAGTCAGTTTTCCAAAGACCCAGTTTTCTCTCAATCATTATTAACTCTTGAACGAACCCTCTCAAAAAATTTTATCTGGGCAACTTTCCATTTGACCAGCTGTTTGTTTATCTTGGTGACAGATAAGTTGTGGACATGCTGGGAATCGGTTGATAGGTCTAGGAGATATGAAATGAAAAGTGAGGTGTGGTCTAAGGGTTGATACGAGTTACTAAAGAAATAAAGCTTTCAAGTTGAAAAGGAAAGTACTTTAAACCTATAGACTATTTTCTGAGTTTTATTTTATATTTTCCTGTCAAGTAAGGTAGCTGCTGTTCTTTTGACAAGCCAAAAATTAAAGCGGGCAAAGTGGACAATAGGCGCTTGAGAGGCGCATGTTACTACTGCTGAAGGTATTCGCAATAGTGCTACATGTGGTTTAGGGCTATGTGGATGAATCATCGCGGATGTTGAGAGTAATGAGGAATGTTGGTTGTGTTAACCTCCACTGAATAGCCCATGCGTCATGCATGTCAATTTTAACATGGCATCGAAGTTTTTAAGTGAATTTTCCATGTTTGGTTTTGTTGTGCTCTTTGTTTTTAAGTCTCTTTTAAAGAAATGAGCAAAGATTGCAATTTTGTTCGTTATGCCTCAAAGTCACGCTAGAATCTTAATTCATTGTTTGCGGGCTGGTTTTTAAGCAATTGCAGGTGTTTCTTTTGTAATGGTTTACTTAAGTACTGGGCACCAAATATGTGTAAAACTGTCACTTAGTATAGCCTTAAGTTTCTGAAAGGTAATCAGGTTCAGAAAAATAATCTTAAAAAAAATTGCACATGCAAAACCAATTTAAGGATTTAATGAAATGATAAACTTGATTACGACTATCGGTTAAAATTTGTCAATTTTTACGCCTAACGGCTAAATTATCCAGCCATTTTACTGCTATCAGTTAACCCCATTAAAACTCTCTTAATAAGGTGAATCAACGATGAAGCAAGAAATACCTAACTCTAGTTATTTTTAGTTACTTTGATGAAAACGCAAGTATTTCAATTCGATTTTGAAACGTTTAAAAGAAAAAAAAAGACTTTAAGATATTTAATAAACTGAAATTCTCAGAGTAAAAGCGCATATACCAAAGATTACAAGAGATTACCTCCACTTAATTGTTCGACGAAAGAATGGAAAACAAACAGTTCTTGAGCTCTGTGATCAAAATTAATCACACTGAGTTGATTATTCAAACATCGATTGAATGCATTGTAATGCGGAGTGAACCATTGTCCAGTTTTCATGCAGCAAACAATTTGAAAGTGCAACAAATGAATAAAGGGGTAAGTTTCTATAGAAACTGTGATGCTGCGTCGGTGGGAGAGTATAGCAGGTAATTTAGTGTTAACAACTGGGTTGAAAACGTAAATTAGCCACCGTAGAGGGTAAAAAAGCTGACGTTTCGAGCGATTGCTCTGACGAAGGGCTAACGCTCGAAACGTCAGCCTTTTTACCCTCTACGGTGGCTAATTTACGTTTTCAACCCAGTTGTTAACACTAAATTACCTGAAAGTGCAACACTTTTGCCAGAACTTTTTAAAAACTCTGAGATTCTCAAAAAGAATTAAAGTACTTGGAAAATGTGCAATCTTTTAGCCAAACCTTTTTGAATTTGTTTCCAACACAAATATCAAATGTTAAGAATCCATTCCTTTTTCCTATCGGCTAAACTAGTCGAGATTGTCGCGTGCCCCTTAATCCTTTATTTTTTTCTGACAACCTTTCTTGAAACACTTCATCATCTATCAAATGTCAAGAATCTTTTCCTTTTCTCAGTTTCTTAGACCCCATCCACATGAATGCGTGTTCTTTGAAAACAGATAATTTCCAATGCGTTTTGGCCTTTCTTCCACAATAAAACGCTTAAAAACGGATTCATTTTTAGGTGATAACGAATCGATTAAAAAGCGCCCTCAAAGGTGGAGACATTTGAAAACGCAGGCATATCGTTTTTAAGTGTGGACAGTCGAAAACGCAGCCTTCTGAAAATAATGACGTTGGATAACTTGCGACTCTTACGATCTGGTTTTTATCGCTTAAAAAAAAAGAAGAGTTTAAGATATTTGATCAACTGCAATTCTCAGGGTAGAAGCGCCAAGACCAAGAGGTTTCAGTATCCTGAGCAGAATCAATGCTTGCTTCTTATTCCATAAGTTTGTTTTTTTCCCGCTCATATCGCTCTACACTGCTGATAATGAATTAACGACTCGGAGCTTTTTAAAAAACACGTAATGGCAAGAAGGAATTATTTAAGCTGTTGCAGTAACTTGCTCCTCCGAAAAAAATAACATCATTGTTTTTCTTCTTTGTAAAAGGAATGCCAGAGGAAGAGCGAGTTTGAAGGAATCTGGGTACGAGAACACGTTTTCTCGTTCTCAGGTTTAGCTCGGTCTTTCATCCTCGAAAGCACAGAGATAATTGAATTTTCTTCGATCCTTTCAGAACCATGCATCCTGCTATCGCTATTTTGCTTGTGTTTGCTGGCTGCTGCTCTAATGTAATTTTCCTTGAGCTGCTTGTGAGGTAGGATAAATAGCTAACCCAACTTCAAACACGGAATACAAAGTATTGCGCTTCTCAAGTAAAGTGTTATGGAGATCACGAAAGCATTTCCACTCAAGCTATATTTAGCATAGAATTCACATGCCGGGTTGTAAATTGTTTTTCTCGAATCGAATCTCCCCGAATGATGAATTAGTGCAATAGAACTATGTTTTCAAAGCATGGGAAGCTGTCTCTCTTCCTCCGCTGGTCGATTTATCGAATGGAATATTGATTTAACAATTTGGTAGCAACAAAGTTATGATTGGGGTTAAAGGGGCATTCTTATGCAATACGATCGAAATAACAACTTCATCCAAGCTTTGATTGATCTTCAAATGTGAAACTGTGTAAAAGAGCTTTTTTTACTCAAGAATCCTCGCCAGGAATAATATTTTACGAGTCTAATAACATGGGAAAATAAAAGTTTGATATTTTCTTGCGAAGTTTTAGTTATGCCCGGATAGCGTTACTGATCTCGCCGGCTCCATTGCTTGAAACCACTGGCGATCACAACCCATCCTAATTCGATGACAAGAGTTTCATGAAAGTTTTCGAGACGGATCCCGTCCGCACTAGTAGTTTTACACCCTGACAATGACCATACTTGCTAAAAAACATGTTAGGTAAATCGATCTTTGTGAAGGTGTTTGTTTGTTTTACAGTCAATTCTACCGGAACAAAGATTATGTTGAATTGTCTGTAGAAACCACTGTAGTGAAAGTTGGTGGTCGTATTTAATTTTTTCGAACATATTCCCTTGTACTCGGCTGCAGGTGACAAATTACACAAATATGCAATCTTTGAAAGGATTGAATCATTCTAGGATCTGACTTATGTGGTCAGAAGGATGTAAACATCATGTGCATGAACACAAGTTTTTTTTAACCTTTCACCTCCAAGATTTCGCTAGTAATTCTCCTTACTGTCTGCCATACAATTCTTGTAATGTTAGTTCTGAGAATTTGGTATTGGATAAACTAATAATTCCCTTATTGATATTTTTCCTCTTCTTATGTGCTTGATACTTTATTGATACCACAAGGAAAAGTCATGTCTTGGTCACTCATGGAAGTTGAAGGGTTATGGGGTGTGAGGTTGGCTTTAAAACATGTGCATTATGCTAGAGGAGGGAATTTGGTGTCTGTAGCAGGGGGGGGGGGAGGGGGGGTATCAGAGCTCCTATCTTGAGCTGAAGGGCTAGAAGTTAATTGGCATGAATCATGTTTGCTGAGATGATTATAAGGAAACAGAAAAACTTTATACTTAATGCTGTCTATTTTTTTTTTATCTTTATTTTTAATTTCAGAGAGGTTCCCAGTTGTGTAAACACCATTACTTTCTGTCAGTTTCTGTTTATTGCGGTGGAAGGATTCATATTCACTGCTCATTTTGGCTTCAAAAAACCTGTTATTCCCATCAGGTAAACAAATAAGTGTTTGTCTTCACTTAAAAAAAAAAAAAACTTTACTCATCACTTTCAAAGCAATGGTACATGAAGTAAAGATAGCTTATGATATCCTCTAAATTTTTTCTCTTTCTTTTTTTCAGCAATTATGTGATGATGGTGATATTTTTCTTCTCAAGCAGTGTTGTAAACAATTACGCACTTAACTTCAACGTCCCTCTTCCTCTACATATGATCTTCAGATCAGTAAGTCTTGGATATTAGATCCATATTCTTGTTTTGATATTTTGATATCTCTTATAAGCTGAGTTCATGGTGCATGCTGTAAGGTTCTGCTTGGGTTTAAGACCCAACTGCAAAATGCATGGGTCATAATGTAATCCAAATGAAAAAAAAAAAACAAGGTTTGATAACCTACAGTATGAACAGAGAAATGAAGTTGGTAAGATAGTTATTAGTTATCTTTGGGTTGAAAAAATGGGGGAAGATTTTAATTCAGACAAGTTTTTGAGTAAGTGGACCATATAGTAAATTAACCAATCATAGTGCTGAGAGATATAATAAACATTTTTCTACTTTTTCTTTGATACATGAAACATGATATAATCATTTACACAGAAATGGTAGAGGATAATTTTTTATCTCTGGTCATTGATGTTTCCAATTCTGTTTTTAGCTGTTGTCTGATAATTAACCCTTTACCAATTAACCCAGTTTCCATATTCTCTTTTCTGCTCATTATACATTTCCTAAGGTGCTGACAAGGAGAATTTGTTTACCAATCAAAAGTTTCTTTCATTGGTGATCATTTCCTTCATTTTCACCCCTGTGATTCAAGGGTGACATTGACCAGGGAGAAATTTGATGCTAAGCACTCTTGGGGTTTAAAGAGTTAATGTGACTTCAGAGCCTTTCAATATGAAAAAAAAAACCATTTAATTATGTTCTTTTGATTGTTGCTTAAAATACTATTATGTAGATTTATACAATTCATCCCTTCTCTCTTGTGAACCTTTTATTAAAAATTTATTTGTAAGGTTGTATAATCCCAGTGCTTAGAACTGGAAGTTTACTGTGTGGTGTACAGTGTTTCCAAAAAGAAAATTTGCTAATTATTCATAATTCCTCCATCCATCTAAGCAGAGTATTTGATTAACTTGGTTTTTTATGGTTAGTTTACCTCTTATCTTGTAGGGGTCTTTAGTGGCTAACTTGGTCTTAGGAATGATAATTCTAAAGAAAAGGTAGGCACCATGTTTGCTGGGATATGCTGCACAATGCTGCACAATGCTGCACAATGCTGCACAATGCTGCACAATGCTGCACAATGCTGCACAATGCTGCACAATGCTGCACAATGTCATGTGTTTTATGGCTTGTTCAATGTGATTGTGTATTTTAGTGTCGTGGCTTAATTTATTATATTTTTGCCAGCTTAAGGTGATATCAGGAAAGTTTGACTGACAGATTGCCATCTGTCAGTCAGTGCACTACAATGAAGAGGTGCACATTTTAATTTTATTAATACTTTTACAACATCTGGATGAAAGCAACTGATAAAACCAGGTCCTTTACAAAAAAGTAAAGATTTACCACCAAGCCTTTGTAGAGAATTATTTTGAGAAGTTAGGTCTCATTGTTTGAAGTGTTGTATTTACAAATTATTATCAGGCTTGCAAATTGTTATTATAATTAAAACATTTTTGTGATAAGGAAGTGATTAAGATTAGCAAATAAATGCCAAGAAGAATCTTTAAAAGTTAAACCACAAAAACAACAACAACAAATAAATTAATTGCTCTATTTTAAATTCTCTTAAATTAGGGAAATAAGCCTTCACTTGCATGCAGTACTAGACAATACTACTTTCCTCGCCTCAGTATGTTAAAACATTTAGAAGTCAGGCTTTAGCTAGATTTGGATGGAATACTGCTGTCACCTTTATCAATCGTTGTACACAAAATTAGTTTTTAGATCATGATGATAAATAACATGCTATCAGTTTTGTTTAAACATGGATATCACTATTGATCATGAATAACAAAGGCTTCATAATAGCTTTGAAAGAAAAACTTCTCTCTGTGATTTGAAGATTGAATAAAGCTACATATCATATGTGAAGTGCAAGCATTTTAGAACAATTTTCTTGCCAATGGATGCAAGATTTAACATACATTTTTGACTTCAGGTATAATCTTTCAAAGTATTTATCTGTCCTGATGATCACAGTGGGGATATGTCTGTGTACATTAGCCTCAGCAAACAAATTGGTTAGTCAAAATATTTAGTTATTGTTTCACCTCTACACTAAATACTACTACATGTTTCTTAAGTTAATTTTTGTCCTGATGCCTCACCTCAATTTCACAATTTGAGCAAAAGCAAGCAATCTATTTGATTATAAATGATATGTGTATCATAATGATATGTGTATTACATAATTCTAGCAATGATTACCCTGTGGTATTTCATAGTAATTCTTGGTCCAAACTATCTTTAGTTGTTTTTGGTCATAGCAGTGTGTGATGCTGAGTTTAGATGCTTTAAATTTCAATACCCATAGGAAGCAAAAAAGCAAAAGTTTAATTTGTTTCTTTCAGGAGTTTAAGTTTTCCTCTGGGGATCCTTATACAGACTACATGTGGTGGTGTGTTGGTAAGAGCTAAATGATGCTACTGTTTTGGTGTATGTTATGAAAAGAGAATGGCCATAGTCTGATCAGTTACCACTACAGTGGCCTGGGTGGCAAGATGGCAAGATGGCAAGATGACTTTCGGGCATCTTGGCTGATTACTGGCTTACCCACTGGATGGTTATAAGGTCTTATTAAACCAAACTTATGAAAAATCCTTTTGAATGTTGATTATCATTGTCAAATAGATATAGAAGTGCATTTCTCTTCTAATATTTTTTCTCATTCTTCTTTCTATTCTTCCCTTTTTTAGGTATTGGCCTTCTTGTGATTGCACTATTTCTTTCTGCAAGAACAGGAATCTATCAAGTAAGATCTTGTTTCGCATCATTGAGAAAATTATTCAAAGGTTGAATCATTACTCATTACTGTGGTGAAGAAATCACTGTCAGAGGGGGATTTATCTAAAGAATCCTGCTTTTCTGTACCACAATAAACGGTTTTATCAATATGTTCAGAAAGTTTGCTGATTGTCAACCAATTCTGTCACCTTTTTCAAGCATTTGAATAAAATTCATGCCAAGAGAACACAGTACTTGTAGATATGATTGTGCATTCTCAACTGATGCAAAATGATTTAGAAGTACATTTCAGAAACTGTTATTCTGATCTCTGCCGTTAAAAATTGTCTGTAAATTATTCTAACGCTGACTACGTCGTGAGATTACAAATAGTTTAGTCTCTCGAAAGTAACTTTCATTTATAATTTGGGCTGTGAAAGCTGCCATATTGAATCTTGCTTAGCAGCCTGGCCACTTGCCTTCGAGCTTCGCCCTGCAAAATGGCGACTGCTTAAGTAATTTTTTCAAAAGATTTAAAGAAAATGTCTTGAGTGATTTGGTTATGTTCTTTGCAATCTCAAAACGCAGCAGATGCTATATTTTTTTTATAAATCCTTTGTAATGACAGATAAAAGAATCATATGATTGTTACGAAATTCGCTGTTCTTCTGTACGGTACATGGAACATCTCCCTGTTTAAGTGCCCTGTATTTGTCACTAAAAAGACCACTGCCTTGTTGCTGATATCGCTGATCATTATTTTTTTTTATCTTATTTAGGAACAGATGTATGCAGAACATGGGAAACACCCCAGAGAGGCATTGTTTTATGCGGTAATTAACGGTTAATTGTACCATGCTTATCAAAAACCTTCACACGATAAATGATTTTGATTTCTTAAAATTCTTCAAGCAAACTTCTTTTTAAGATGAGATGCTTGTGATCCGTTCTCACAGAACCTTCTTAGAACGAAAAACTGATCAAATTTAAGCCTGTGGGATTTATGTGTCCATTGGCCATTCGCGAGTATTTCAACCCATAAGTAAGCTCATCATAACTCATCCTCCTCCCCAATTGTGAAATTTTCTGCAAATTATTACTAACACTGACTGCCTATTGAGATTACAAAGAGTAGTTTAGTCTTTCGAAAATAATCTTAATTTATAATTTGGGCCTTGGACACCGCCATATTGAATCTTGCTTAAGCAAGTTAAACAATCTCATTATCCCTGCCTCTTATCCATATCGGTATTTTACTTTTACAGTGTTAATATTGCCAAACGGTTTTGTCTTTTTTTCATGGACATGTTTTTATTGATTTTTTTTTTTTTACAGCATGCTTTGCCATTAGCCGGGTTTCTTCTTTTTTATGAAGATATCCGTAGCCATTTCTCAATATTTAACTCTTCTGGTAAGTATGTGACACTTCTGATGTTCTTGTTTTTTTGTTTCGATGGGTATATTTTCAGTGAACAATTCACGGCTCCAGGCGTCAGCGCGCGTTTATCGGAATACGTGGCTGAAGCGCGTGGACAGTGTGGGGATCTTTAACTCATTACATTCTCACATCAGAATACATATTCTCCCTACTGTTCTCCATACATTTCCAAAGAGGCTGACAAGGAGAATTTGTTTAACAATCAAGAGCTGCTTAAGTTGGTGATCATCTCCTCTATTCTCATGACTTCATGTTTGTTTCAGGGTGATATTGTAAGGAGAAATAAGATTCTAGTCACTCTTAGGGGCTAAAGGGATAAAGATGCAACAGAGTTGGTATGGGCATAGCCCACAGCAACTCTCGCTGCCACAACAAAGAGTTATCCCAGACGTTACGAACTCTGTTAGCCGACTCGAAGTACTGTGCCATGCGGGATCAACGTGCACAATTATCCCGCGGGGTCAAGGCTTGTCTTCCGGGTAGCCTATCACAAAACAGCAATCGCTTGATGTTACCCACACAATTATCCCTCGGGGTCAAGGCTTGCTTCACGGGTAACCAATCACAAGACAGCAATCGCTTGATGTTAACCGCACAATTATCCCATGGGGTCAAGGCTTGCTTCACGGGCAACCAATCAGAAGATAGCAATCGCTTGATGTTACCCTCTTGCGGGCAAAGAAATTCTGTGCATCCAATTATCATGAATAGGTCATCCCATATTTAAGGCAATTCTTACTTACTTAGTCTTTCAAAACTCAAGATCTTTAAAGCAATCATTCTTTTCCGTTGCTCCATATTTTTCTGTCGATTAGCTGGGAGAATTTCTTGTTATGTCAAGGTAAAACCCCTCCCGATTTGTAACCTTGCACCCTTTTTCCTTAGCTGTTTGTTGGATAATGAACTCACACAATGAGAAGGAGTGACATTTTGATCACTTCCCTCAACAAAAGCTCTGTTTCTCATGTACTCGCGCTGATTAAATATTGTTATCAAGGGGATCACTTTTATTTGAATTAAAGTACTGCAGTTTTTTTATCCTTCTAAAGAAGTCGCAGTAGACAATTGGTAGGCTATGTTATAACAAAAGAATATTCATAATATTCTGACCGTCCTGTACAGCTCCTTTGATTCTACTTGATTCAAACATACAAGTCCCGAAGCTCTGGGCCTATCTCGCCGGAAACATCGTCACGCAATACATCTGCATCCGCAGCGTATATATTCTAACGTCAGAGTGCACCTCGTTGACTGTCACCCTGGTTGTTACGCTGCGAAAGTTCACGAGTTTGATGTTTTCAATCTTTTACTTCCAAAATCCCTTCACACTGTATCATTGGTGCGGAACGGTGCTGGTATTTGGTGGCACTTTGATCTTCGTTGAACTGGCTAAGAAGATTCGGGAAGCTTTGATGCCACAGAAGGAGACAAAAGTCGACTGATTCTCTTTGTGATGATACAGAAAGAGGCTTTGTTATATTCTGGAATCATGTAAATGTGACAATGATTTGCGCTGTAGTGTAGTGAGGTCCGGCGGAGATCCATAGTGGACACCCTATGTTCTCCAGTAGGGGCAAAGATGGCCTAATCTAAGCGACTGGTCATTATTTGTTGCTGGGGAGAGGGGATCTGTCGTCGCCAACGGGCCGGTATAAGACCAAGAAATTATTTTCCTCCACTGTTTTATCGGACTCAAAATTACTTTCATCTTTTTTTATTCTTTATAATTTTATCTTTCTTATGCCAAGGCGTTAATGCTTGCAATCCTGTTAACAAAGGGTCTTAATGGCGTTAACCGTTAGCCGTACAACGGCGAAATAAAATTAGCCGTGATGCGTAAAAATCGACAAATTTGTACTCGTAAGTCGTAAAAGAAGTTAACCATAGAAAGTTTTCCGGTAGCCGCAATAGGAAGAAATTAAATTTAAAAGTCATCACATTGAGACCCCCCGGCTTAACAGGGCACATCAACTTGGCGTGATATTTTGTCTTGTTTTGTTTTGTTTTTCACATAAGATACATGCGATATTTGTTAGCATACTGTACAGAGAACTTATCTCAACGATAGAGTAAGAACTTAAAGGAGAAAGCTTATGGTCACTAATATATTTGTAGATATTCTTCTACACAAAAAGTCAGGCATACTGTCCAAATTTTAGGTTTATCATGTATGCCCTTAGGGTTTCCATCTGAAATATTTTTATGATTGTTGGATATTTTTAACTTTTGCGACAAATTGTGTCGTTAGCTACGATAATACAAGGAAACCTTCAGAAAAAGAAATATTGATATACAATGATCTGAATAAACTAAGCAAAATTGCAGCGTCAAGGAATGATACTGTTTTATATTTACATTTGTATCAGGCGCAATTTAGTCAAATCCTAAAGGCATACCATGTTGGTCGATTCATTCGTGAAAGCAAGATTTCGTTTCAGCTTTAATTTAAAGCTGTTTTTCTCTCTCAACGGCTCGTCAGCTATCGCCAATTGTTCCTAATTTTCGTCAGTTGGCAAAAAAAAAAATTTCGAAAAAGACTTTAAGCAAATTTCATACAATTTCAGTGAAACAAATGATTAAAAATCCTTGTTTTCGTTGTTTATTGAAAAGTAATAAACACTTTCTAACACTTGTGCAACGGTTTTTAATTGACTCGCTTTTCTTTCGATGTTCTTCAACAATTGGAATCCCTTCAACGTGTCTAGAAAACGTTTCCCAAACCAATCATACACTTAGCAGATACATCTATTTCGAGAAAGGTTGTCGGCGTAAAAGACAAAATTCCACGGGGCAAGATCGAAAGGTAATCTGGGTATCCGGTAATCATTGTATTTTAAAAAAGTGAAATAAAATTTCCTGAGGTCAAGGAACCGCGACCGGTAAACTACCCACAATACCTCTAGGGTTTTCCGACAACTTTCCGGCGAAATGATGGTATATTCAATGGCTTCGTAGTTTGTACAGTAAGTTACGAACCATCTTTTTTCCTTCGAATTTATGGCCTGTGTTTCGCGCTTGGGCCATCAATTGAATCGGAAATAACTCGAAACTTACGGTTCGGACCTGGGCTAAAATTAAAATCAGCATGGAGGATTATTTTAATGTGCATATTTCTAGAACATTAGCTTTTGTAGTATAGCGAGTTTAATTAGTGGCTTGTGACTGCTATGAAAGTTGAAACTGAAGCAAGGTTTCTCACTGTTGTTCTTATAATTCGTTCTCTCGACCATGAAAGTCAGTTAAATTCGAATTCGAATAAGCTGGCCTTTTAGTTATCAATTTCTACCATTTCACATCATCATGTCTCAGTGTATACTCTTTTTAACTCTTTATACCCTAACATCAATATTCACATTCTCTCTGCTGATCTCTTAGATTTCCTAAGGTGTTGTTAAGGAGAATCTTCTAAACAATCAAGAGCTTTTTACTAAGTGACCGTTTCCACATTCTTTTGACATTAATGTTTGATTCAGCGGCGATAATTTTAGGAGAAGTTTGATGCTAGTCACTCCTGGGAGGCAAAGGTTCGACTTCCAGAGCCGGAGGAGTACCCCCGATACTCGCTTAATTTCCTACCCCTCTGCGTTTTCTATGCATTATCAGCCTTTCATCTTGAGTCTACACATTGCATTGAAGACGGCCGTTAAGTCCCAGGAAATTTGTTGCGTCCTCAAAGAGAGAACAGAGACGAAAAAGTAATGAGACTAACAACTACCTTTGTCGCCGACACCAACAAGCCCCGGGGCTCTTGACCTCGTTTTGAAACCAAGATTTTATCTGATACTAAATTGCTATTGTTAGCAAATGTCTTTTTTCAAGTCCAACAATTCTAATATTGAATTCACGGTCTCATCAATAAACGCGGGAATAACCTACGAGTGATGGTAGTTTAGAGATGCTACAATCACTTAAAATCTTAATTAGTTCCTCCACCGGAAACTTCTCAACAAATATTTATTTAGACTGCGGCTTTACTTCTAAACAATTGCATGTGGACTCTAGCCAGCTGTTTATCTCATTACTTAAAGTTGAAATTATGTAAAATACTGGTATTAATAGTTCGCGTGGCCTAAAAAACGATATCGTTTATGTCGGTGTTATTATTTTAACAATACTAAGTCAAAACTGTTTTATTTCTCTTTATGTAATAGAATATGGAATGAATATGTTTGTTTAGATAACCTGTCATTTACAAGGGCAGATAATTATGTTTTAATACTCTCCTGGTAGACCTGGAGAAATAACCGATCCTTCATCATGGTATAGTTTCTTAAAACGACTTTAATAGTGAATGAAGATCGAAGAAAGTTTATAGGTCTAAATTCACGAGATAACACTATTAAAATTCGTAAACAAGAATTTGACTGATGACTTTCTGGATCGACTATTTCTATCGACTGTGTTTAGTTGATTTAACATCAAATTTCGGAAAACAAAAGGGGGTGGATAGTTTTATGTAAAACGCTCTCCTACAAATCGTTTACAAAAACAAAAAACATCTTGGTTCATTAGTTTTCAAAATATGTATAGAAACATCCAGTCTCCTGACCGGATGATATAGAATTATAGGGCGTCAATGTAAAGCGTCTTAGTAAAGCACTTTCTTTTATTAAGGAAGACAGTTTTGAATTTGAAATTTGCCGGCTGTCAAAAAAATTAACCATAACAGCTTTTCTTCACTGCTACCTGACACTTTAACAATATTTTATTTTACTAACAAGGTAAAACGAGATATTAAAGTTAAAGTTTTATTTTGTCTATACGTGCATGTCTTTTTTATGACCATCATCTAGCATTTTTGATACCGGTAAGGACATGGTTTGATGCCTAGAGGACACGGTTAATTTTTCGATTCCCTGTTCTTCATGAGTTCATTTGTTGAACATTCTCGGCGAGGGTTCTTTTCTAGCAGCCGTGACAGAAAACGTCAACTTAAGAAGAATTAGTTCGATTATAACACAAGAGAGAGTTAACTCCATGGACAGGAAAGTGCTTGCCTGATTGTCTGCTTTACTGCTTGTCTTACTTCACTAATCTTCCAGCAGTAAAGAAATGGATTTAATGTCGAGTTAAAGTAAAGAAAGGTGACTGCAATTCCTCTGCTGACAAAGAGTTGTGGTGAAAATATTCTCTTGTGAACGTTCAGAATTTCAAGAATGGTACTCGGTGCATAACAAGCAACTAATGCTAACTGCACCCACAGTGCACTATACACCGCCTTTCTGTATCGCGAAATGTTCAGTGAATTTGGTTGACTTGACTGTAGTTGAACATGAACTTGAACTTGTGCCTGATGATGAACAAGGGTGCGAAATATCTTTTTGTACGAGACCATTGAGATCAGTAAACAAGATGGAACACCAATAAATCCACACCATAAGGTTATACGGTAATCTAAAATGTAGCATAGAGCAGCGACACCACATAAAACCCAAACGGCAGCTAAAATAATACTTGCGCGCTTCAAAGTTACAGTTTGTTTGTACCTCAGCCCCAACAACAGCGCAAGAAGTCTGTCAATAGTTATGGCCGTCATTGTCTCTAAAGATACCCCACAAAATGCGTAGATGGTTACGTAAGTGGCGTCCCTTGTGTATCGACAAAGGTTCCAGTGTTCGTTAGCTATGGATATCCAATAAATAGCATAGAGAGGCTGGCTAACGAGACCAACCAAAAGATCACTTATTGCCAGACAACGATACAAAAGTTTGGATGGCAGATGTAGGGAAGATTCTTTACGAAGGGCAACAAGGATTAGAAAGTTACCAAGAATTGCAGTGAGAGAGAGGATTACATTTACCAATGCGAGATAAATTGAGTGCTGTTGTAATTCGCTTGCCAAAGAGGGGGAACATAACAGTTCTTGATATGTTTCCATTTGTACTCCACCTCCTGTTAAATTATTTCTTGCCATCATACTTCTGTATTCCTTTTTCCTTTAGGCTTACCTGTGATTGCAACGAGAGATAATTCATCATAACAGCAGCCGGCCAGAAATGATTATACAAAAACATCTTAGGGAGATCGTTATTTAAACTATGCAAAAACATCGGCTGTTAAGTCAAAAAGTTTTCTTTTTGAACCTTTGTATATACCTCGGGTATAAATTGGCAGAATGAGAGTTCTATAATAGACTTTTTTCATAGCACGACAAGTTCTTTCCCGTAACTTGGCTAAACTTTCATTACCAGGATTGGTATTTATGCTTTAATATAATTTCGATGAAGCTGAGAGGATTCATTATCAACTTCAGCAATCTAAAAGAAACCAAGTCCTCGCCAGAGAGGTTAGTCGGTTTAGAAAATAATGATTACTCGTGGCAATCTCCAAATACATAAAAGAACACGAAATTAATGTTTGGTCGCAGATGCTATCATATATATGAAGACATTCGTGTTCAACGTTCTAATTAACAAAGCCTTCCAGCTTTTTACTTTCCGTTTCGCGCCCGACTTAGCTAGAAATGGAATCAGTGACAAGGGTTGGACAGGAGCAACCTTCTCTGCGTTATTAATTTTCTTCATTTGGCCTCTTAACGTATTCCGAGAGATTCGCCATCATATCTTCCCCTTTTGATCAGAAACAAAGTAAGCCTTTTGAACTCTGTGATCCTCTTCTTTTTCGGTTAAAAGTGGAATAACGTTTTAAGGCAGCTGTCATGTGTACGGCAGGGAATTGGATTCATTTGGTCGCGATTCACTTGAGCGATCAAAGATCCTCTTTTGATTAGGAAAGTTATATTCCAATACTTGGGCACGATAAAAACAAGTTATAGATCTGCGGTCTAAAATAAATCCATGGATAGATAAGAACTAGTTATACTCGTTAAACAACTTATTACTCTCTAACTTCATACAAAGCATTTGTTTTGAGACTTTCATTTACCTTTTAAAGACGCGGACTTGGAAGGTCCTTACGCTACAAATACTACAACTTGTCTGTGGCAAGAGATCTTTGGTGTGCCTTGCATTTAAAACGTTAAATAAATGGAAACAGTTATTTTGTTATTTCAATCTTGCTGTCTATCCTCTAAAGTCACAGAATATGGACGAAAGTCTGTTAATAAATATTAGTATGCGACACAGCTACGTATTTGTGTAGTTAATGAATTTTAATTAAGGAATAAATCATCATGACGAGTCAAACGCAAACATCTGTCAGTATTTTCGTTTCACAATTAAGGACAAAAATTTGCTGTAAAGCCAAAATTTAACAGCAGTTCAAAAAAATTAAACCCAGTAAGATCCGATAATAGTCATACTTTGTTTCATATACTCTTCTTCAAATTGCCCACAGGTGATAAAGCATCTTCAAATTTGGTATGTATTAAGGATTTCGAAAAACAAACCAATTCAAGTGTTAAATTGGCATTTTGATCGACTCGCATGGCAATAAGATGTCAACGTCAAGCATTTGATTTGAGTATTATTAAAAAATCGAAAATAATTTACCGTTCATAAACAAATAACTTCAACAGCTCTCTTTTGCTACACTTTGAAGTTCAATTTTATCCTCCACTTTCATATTTCTAAGAAAGTAAAACGAAGAGTAATATTACTCTCAGCGAGTTAGAATAAAAGCCAAAGATATTAATCTGTTTTTCAAAAGAAGAAAAAAATTAACTCGTGGTAATTTCCAAATAGATAAAACTATGCAAATCTACAGACGCCAACATATATAATTTGATATATAAATTTAACAAATAGAGAAGCCTTGAGTGTGCTCTGTTCTGTTGTAAAGCACGCAGGAAGCTGCTAGAGCACGAACAAAGTGTAAGGAGAAACACGAGTGCTCTAGCCGCTTCCAGCGTGCTTTACGACAGAACAGAGCACGGTCAAGGCTTCTCTATTTGTTTTATAATAAAGAATCCGTCAAATTCCTCAAGGAATTTCCTAATCATTACTTTCAGTTTTCAAAACAAACTTAATTTCCAAAGCGAACAACAGTGTCGACGGCAAAGTACGCTACAATAAGCCAATCAGAATCTCTGTTAGAATGGTTCAAATAATCTGATTGGCTGTACAAGACTAAAGCTGTCAAAAATGTCAAACCATCAAAGTTCGCATTTTGCGATAGTTTAAAAACTGGAATAGTTCGGCAGGTCGAATTTAACACTTCTGCCTGAAGTTTTTTAGTCTCTAATACAGAATCTGAAAGTGAAATGTTCAGTGAAACTCGGCAGAATTGTGGCTCATAAAAACACGCAAGTTTTTTCACATGACAAGTAGAAAACAAACAGTTCAAGGCGAGTGTTTTATGAATGAACGACCGCCGAATTCGCCGGAACATAAAGATTTCTCGGGATGACAGCGCCGTGATATTCGGCTGCAGTTACTGATGTGGCCTTCCACTCAACGCATCGGAAAGGATATCGGAGCAAGCTCTTATTTCTTTACTCGAAGGGCAGCCGATGTACTTCCTGAGGCTTGCTTCACTGTGAGAACCAAAGATCGCCATGATGAGCTAACCGCGATGGACCTCAGCGTGATCGCAGTCGCTCTGACACCGGCATGATTAGTATGAATTTTAACAGTTATGCTAGTTTGGTTATATTTTTCATCATTCTTGTTTTGTTCTGTTTTGTTTTTGATCGCGAAACTTTACTTACTATACAAGTGTTAGCTGTGTTTGATTTTTATTACCGTACATAAGCTTGCCATCTAACTAAGCGTGAAAACCTCTAAACTCGGACTGTACATTTTGTTTTCTCCTTGAGGATTTTCGTCTCCGCTCACCTTATAATAACTTAAATTACGTTGCCTGGCGTTTTTAAAAAGCTTTGTTTGGTTCTTCTGTTGCTACTTGCAGGCTCGATTGTTCCGAAATTACACTTTTAATAAACGAAAAAAAGTCAGAGAAAAGTCCCGGAAAAGGTAAAAAATAGTACAATTTGGCAGATGGCGTGACAGCTTTTGCTCAGCTCTATGCTCTATACTCTCATAGAGCACGCTCTTTCAATCAATGACAGCACGCGTTATATCCAAACTTTATTACAAATATATACACACATATCTATCTCAAGTGATATTGCCCAATAAGCTACAACAACACAAGCGTTCGTTTATAATCGAATTCGAGATAAAAGAGCGTTTAGCTACTGTTAGAGAAGTAGGGAAAAGTTTATGAGTTGAATAAAGATGTGTCGGAGAGTACTGAAAAATAAATATTCCACTCAGCAATCCGGCGCGTTAAAAAAAAGGTGCGAAGGACAGTGAGCACAATAGCCTCCATTTGGCGCAAAATTATCCTCGTATATTATCTGTTTCTCGAAGCTCACAGTTTTCCTCGAGCATCGCTCTCGTTCGCTCCTCGAAACAGATAGTGTCTGCATGCAAATATCCATTTTTATTTTCGCGCCAAATGAAGGTCATAATTTATTTATTCACCTCCACTTTGGTGATAGTTGTTAAATGTTTGAGTTGCGAACGAGAATGTGTCAGGAGGAAGATAATACGCTACAAAGCTCTTTTGTTCTTTGTTTTTATTTCCTTCATGCGCCCTCCTCATCATATTTTCCACTTTTATCAGAAACAAGTGATGGCCTAATGGACTCTCTGATATTATTTTCTTCCAGATGTCTGGTTGATAAAAACATATCAAGTAATTTTTTGTTGCGAGTCATTTATGAAATTAAAAATACTCTCTGGATGTATCCGATAAAAAGTTAAGATTTAGTATAACTCGTTTATATCACTAAATAGACGGAAAGCGTTACTTGGCATATGTTAATTCTGTGGCATCTCATTCTGGCTCTTTTCCTCAAGTCAGTGAAGTTTAATTTAGAAATAAATTTGCATTAAGAGTGAAACATGCAGACATCTGTCAGTTTTATATTTCCACAGTAAGAGATAAAACCCTGCTTTTCACGCAAAAATCATTAGCAGCCAAAGGAATATGATGATATGTTAAATTTAATTTTGGAAAAACGATCGATCACTGAGGGAACTCAATAAGACCTAGTGATGGTCAATTTTGTTTCAAATACTCTCTTAAAACTTCTGTGTTGTAGTTAAAAGCATCTTCTCAGTTGTGATCGGCTTGTATGGCAATAGGGCGCAAACGTAAGTGCTTTATTTGAGTAACATTAAACAAATAACTTCAATGGCTCTTCTTTAATGTTCTTTGAAGTTCATTTCATATCACTTAGGATGCAAACCAAAGGAGTAATATCGAACTACCGTCCTGTTATTTTTTACATCGTAGGAGCTTATAATAGGAGTCGTTATAATCATAATAAGCACTGTCGCATGCAACAAAGTTTCCTCAAGATATGGTTGCTGTTTTTTTTACTCTTTGCCGTTTTATTGATGCAATTGGAAATAAAGAATTTTAACAAAGGCTCGAGCAACGAAGTGGTTACTTTCATATTCATTTCTATCTTATTAAGTGACTGTTGTCTTGTACAAACCAAAAGTCAGCCGGCTCTAAAATAGCAAATAAAATAATGCCTCAATGGAGGCAGATCTAACTCCATGGACAACAAACTAATTGTCTGATTGTCAGCTTCACTGCCTGTCTCACTTCATTAATCTTCCAGCAGTAAAGAAACGGGTTTAATGTCGAGTTGAAGTAAACTAAAGTTGCTACTATTCCTCTGGTGACACGTAAATGCGATGAAAATGTTCCTTTATTAGGCTCCTCAAACACGATTACAACTATGGTATATGGTACATAACAAACAGCTAATGCTAACTGCATCCACAGTACACTGTACACCGCTTTTCTGTATCGCGAAATGTTCAGTGAATTTTGTTGGCTCGACTGTAGTTGAACATGAACTTGTACTTGTGCCTGATGACGAATGAGGGTGCGAAATATCTTTGTGAACGAGGCGATTGAGATCACCAAATAAGATGGAATACAGATATAACCACACCATAGGGTTATATGGTAATCTGAAATGTAGCATAAAGCAGCCACACCAGATAAAACCCAAACGGCAGCTAAAATAATACTTGTGCGCTTCAAAGTTACATTTGTTTTGTATCTCAGCCCCAACAACAGGGCGAGAAGTCTGTCAACGGTTATGGCCGTGATTGTCCCCAAAGATACTCCACATAATGTATAGCTAGTTATGTAGGCGGCGTCCCTTGTGTATCTACAAAGATTCCAGTGTTCGTTAGCTATAGATATCCAATAAATAGCATGGAGAGGCTGGCTAACGAGACCAACCAAAAGATCAGTTATTGCCAGACAACGATACAAAAGTTTGGATGGCGGATGGAGGGAAGATTCTTTACGAAGGGCAATGAGGATTAGAAAGTTACCAAGAATCGCAGTGAGAGAGAGGATCACATTTACAAATGCGAGACAAATTGATTGTTGTTGTAATCCACCTGCCAAAGAGGGGGAACATAACAGTCCTTCATATGTTTCCATTCGTACTCCACCTCCTGTTAAATTATTTCTTGCCATCATACTTCTATATTCCTTTTTCCTATAGGGTTACCTGTGATTACAACAAGAAATAATTCACCGTAACAACAGCCGCCGAGAAATGATTATACAACAACATCTTGGGGAAATCGTTCTTTAAGCTATGCAAAAACATCAGTTGTTAAGTCAGAGTCTTTTGGAACTTTTGTATGTGCCTTGGGTATAAATTAGCAAAATGAGACTTCTGTAACAGGCTTCTTTTCATAGCACGACAAATTCTTTCCTGTCACTTGGCTAAAACTTTCATTACCAGGATTGGTGTTTATGCTTTAATATGATTTCGATGAAGTTAAGAAAAATCATTATCAACTTCAGCAATCTAAAAGAAACAAAGTCCTCGCCAGAGAGGTTAGTCGGTTTAGAAAATAATGATTACTCGTGGCAATCTCCAAATGCAGTCGAACCTCGATTATCCGGACTCGGTGGGACTAGGGTAAATAGTCCGTATAATCGAGAGTCCGGATAATCGAAAATATGAATATTAATGAGACAATGTAAACAAAAGAAATAAAGATAACACATTTTTAATTCTAAAAGTTTGCTTCAACAGATCGCTTTCGCTTCGTAGACATGTTGTCGTTTTGAGTTATGATCGTCTCGTGATTTTACATAACCCACGCTCATCGAACTGATCAAGCATGACATTCCCTTAGCAACAAAATAATACTGAACCAATCAATATTCAGCTGAACGCATTAGAATGCTTCTTGTCTCTTTTTGTCTCCGAGCGCTCGATCTTTCCAAAGCGAAGCGCTGTTTTAAACGCAATTTTCCTGACTTTTAACATAATTTCTGAATTTTTTTACCTCCTAAAGTTTTTAACATCTAAGGTCATTAATATTCATGAAAAAAACGGGACCAGAGAAAAAGTCCGGATAATCGAAAAGTCCGGATAATCGATGTCCGGATAATCGAAGTTCGACTGTACATAAAAGTATACAAAATTAATGTTTAGTCACAGATGCTAACATATATATATAAAGATGTTCATGTTCAACGTTCTAATTAACAAAGCCTTCCAGCTTTTTACTTTCCGTTTCGCGCCCGACTTAGCTAGAAACGGAATCGGTGTCAGGGGTTGGACAGGAGCAACCTTCTCTGCGCTATTCATTTTCTTCATTTGGTCTCTTACTTTATTCCGAGAGATATTCGTCATTATATTTTCCCCTTTTTATCAGAAAAAAGTAAACCTTTTGAACTCTGTGATCCTCTTCTTTTTCGGTCAAAAATGAAATAAAGTTTTAAGGCAGCCGTCATGTGAACGGCAGGTGATTAGATTCTTCTTGAGCATCAAGGATTCTTTTTTGATTAGGAAAGTTATCTTCCAATACTTAGGCATGATAAAAACAAATTATAGATTTGTGGTCTGAAATAAATCCATGGATAGATAAGAACTAGTTATACTTGTTAAACAACTTATTACTCTTTAACTTCATACAAAGCATTTGTTTTGAGACTTTCGTTTGTACCTTTCAAAGAAGCTCACTTGGAAGGTTCTTGCTTTAAAAATAGTACAATTTGTTTTTTGGCTGGAGATCTTGTCAATCCTTTATGCCACAGAATTAAGAACGGAACTTGTTAATAAACATTCGTGTGCGACACACCTATGTATTTGTGTTGTAAGTAAATTTTAATTTAGGAGTTAATTATCTTTACGAGTAAAACGCAAACATCTCTAAGTGTTTTCGTTGTACAATTAAGGACAAAACCTTGCTGTATAAGCCAAAATTTAACAGCAGTTCAAAAAAATAAACCCAGTAAGATCCGATAATAGTCTTGTTTTGTTTCACGCGTTCTCCTTCAAATTGCCCACGGGTGATAAAGCATCCTCAAATTTCGTATGTATTAAGGAAATTTTTCGAAAAACAATTCAAATTCATGTGTCTAACTGGCCTTGAGATCGGCTCGTATGTCAATAGGGTGTTTATGTCAAGCGTTTTATTTGAGCATGATTAAAAATTGGAAATAATTTACCTTCCATAAAATAATAACTTGAACGGCTCTCCTTTGCTACACTTTGAAGTTCAATTTTGTCCTCCACTTTCATATTTCAAAGAAAGTAAAACGAAGGAGTGATATCACTCCTAGCATGTTACAATAAAAAAGGTCATTGTCAAAGATCTTAATCGGTTTTTCAAAAGGAGAAAAAAAATGAACTCGTGGCAATTTCCTACTAGATAAAATTATGAAAATTGACAGGTGCCAACATATGTTATATTAATAAATATTTAACAAATAGAGAAGGAAGACGAAAGAAGTGTAGGGAGAAAGATGAGACATAGTCGAGTGTTTCTCCTCTCTTCTTGATTGCTCTAACCGCTTCCTAAGTGCTTTATAACAGAACAGAGCTCAGTCCAGTCTTCTCTATTTGTTTTATGATGAAGAATCCGTTAAATTCCCCATGTATACTTTCAATTTTTAAACCGATTTTAATTCCAAAGCAAACAACAGTGTCGTCAGCATGCTCTATACTCTCCTAAAGCACGCTACAATAAGCCAATCAAAATCCTTTTTATAATAGTTAAAATAATCTTATTGGCTGCCTAAGACTAAAGCTGTCAAAAATGTAAAACCATTTAAGTTCACATTCTGCAATTGCTTACAAACTCAAATAGTGTGGCAGGTCGAATTTAACACTTTTGCCTGAAGTTTTTTAGTCTCTAATACAGAATGTGGAGGTGAAATGTTCAGTGAAAAACGGCCGAATTGTGGCTCACAAAAAAACGCAAGTTTTTTCACATGACAAATAAAAAACAAACTGCTCAAGGCGAGTTTTACGAATGAACGACAGCCGAATGAATGAGTTGCCAGTAATTGGATCCTTGTCGAAATTACCACGAAATATGTAAAAAAAAAAAACCGAAAAACTTCCCTCCTTGCGTAAGGTTTATCTTGAAGTCATCATCGCGTAATGGTCTCGAAATATTACAAAATTAGCCAGGAATCGCTAGGAAGTAATTCGTTTAAGTCTTTTCAGTTGTATTTATATATGTACAGCCTGTTTTCATGCTTCTTAACGTATTTAATAAACAAATTACGACGTTTGAAAATATACTTCCTTTCCACAGAGATGGAAATTATTTTTACCGTGCTGTTGCTCTCTGAAAGGATGAAATAGGCGACGAAAAACATGAGGAAATCCCTCGTTCAAGTGATAGTTTGTTTGAGAAAAATCCAAAGGTATTTGAGCTGCAACTTTTCTTCTCGAACTCCTTGAAGGATCTTGTCAGGAAAAGCAATATCACGGGAACTCCGGTAGAAACTGTGGATATATCATCGGTTGTGCATCGCTTCTTAAGAGACCATTTTGTATCACTCATCGTCACAGAAGAAAGGGTTCAGTTTTGAGCCGATTATCAACGCTGATTCGTTCGTATTCATCACAACAAAGAAGCAGTGTAGGTGATTCATCACTTTAATGTACCGCAATAATATTTAATGTTCAAGTACGCCATTTCAATCTCCTGCTGCTTCAAGGTAAGCTCTTCTGGCGCTCTTTTGTATTACTAAGCCATGAAAAACGCTAGAAGTAGACCTAACACGTTCCAAAGACTGGAACGGCTTAGTTGAGTTATTCCTTGGCGATTAATGGTTATGTTTTAAAAATTTCAAGACCATTACGCCATGTCAAATTCACAATAAACCTTGCGTATGGAGACAAGTTAATCGGTAGATTTTACTACATATTACATGGTTTTTCGAACAAAAACTTACGCCTTCGTAGTATCAGCATTACCCAAATCCATTTCTGATAAAAGAGCGGCGAAAAAGCGAAAATCTCTCAATAAAATCGTTTTTTTGGACGTCGGAACAACCTTTCACCATACATTTCCTTCTAGTGAGTTGCAGTGTTTTCCCGTGGCGATTCCAGAAATCTGTGCGTTAACACAAGGATCCGACTACTGGCAATTCATTCATTCACCGAAACATAAAGATTGCTCGGGATTACAGAGCCGTAAAACTCGGTTGCAGTGATGGATGTGGCCTTCATCACCCAACGCATCGGAAGGGACATCAGAGCAAGCTCTTGGTTGTTCACTCGAGAGGCAGTCGATGAAATTTCTGAAGCTTGCTTCAGTGGCGATCCCCGAGCTAGCTGCGTTGGACCTCAACATGATCGCGGTCGCTCTGACACCGTCATGATTAGTATGAATTTTGACAGTTATGCCACTTTGGCTATATTTTGCATTATTCCAGTTTTGTCCTGTTTTGCTTTTGAACTCGAACTTTATATACTATACGAGTGTTAGCTGTGTTTCAGTTTTAATACTGTACGTAAGCTTGCTATCTCTCTCAATTTCGGAACAAGCGAGCCGGCTAGCATCAACAGATGAACCAAACAAAGGTTTGTAAATACACCAGGCGCCATAATTTACGTTATTAAAACGTGAACAGATACGAAAATCCTCAAAGGAAAAACAAAGTAAGCATTCCGAGTTTTAAAGATTTTCACGCTCAGTTAGATTGCAAGCTTACGTAGGGTAATAAAAATCAAACACAGCTAACACTCGTATAGTATATAAAGTTCGAGTTCAAAAACAAAACAGGACAAAACTGGAATAATGCAAAATATAGCCAATCTGATTGGAAAGGGATTGTGATTGGCTTATTGCAGCGTGCTTTATGAGAGTATAGAGCATGCTGGCGACGCTGTTGTTCGCTTTGGAAATAAAGTTTGTTTTGAAAATTGAAAGTAATGTTTGGGGAATTTAACGGATTCTTTATTATAAAACAAATAGAGAAGCCATGACTGTGCTCAGCTCTGTTATAAAGCACTTAGGAAGCGTCTAGAGCACTCAAGAAGAGGGGAAACGACGACTACATCTCGTGTTTCTCCCTACACTTCTTTCGTGCTCTAGCCGCTTCCTGCGTGCTTTATAACAGAACAGAGCACAGTAAAGGCTTCTCTATTTGTTAAATAGCGCGCGTTATATCCAAACTTTATTATAAATATATTTACATACATATCCCAAGCGATA